ACTTGATATTATTGAAATATTCTTATGGAAAATATGAGATGGAATATGCAATTTTATGGTATGCACTATATCTTTGATAGATTTAATTTATTTAAATATATTGATGAGAAAATAGTTTAAGGCAAGGGGGATAATGGTCTATGCATCTTCCATAATGTTGATGACCCATCTATGGAATGGATGGCTCAGATCTCTCACCCCACAAGTCACCTTAATCAACGGTCTATATTCAATATCAAGAAAGAGGTAAACTACGGGAAACCTTAAAGAAACCTTAAACCTAAATTTCACTATAAATAGGGATGCTCTTCCCCATCTCTACACACCTCTCTCTCTCCTATAAGCTCTCTCTCTTTTCTCTCTCTCTCCTAGAGGGGTACGCTTCACTCTCTCTCCTCTATTTTCTCTCTCTCCTAGGACTCATAAGAGGCACGCTCCAACCCTAAGGTTCATTTTCTCTCTCTCTTGACCTAAAGATTTATCGTAAGTCTCATTTTCTCTCTCTCTTGACCTAAAGATTTAAGAGTTGGGAAAATTAGAGTTTGAGCCTAATTATTTTAAAGTTAAGGTTTTGTAGAGATTTAAGGGTGGTAACCTAGTTTGGCCGAAATTAGTTTTCCTGATTCGAGATTGAAGCTAGACTGCTGATCCTGCGTCATTGAACGTGGTGACTCGGTGTGGGGTGTAAAAAGCCTGGTTGAAGTAATCTCCGACATCTTTTATTTTATTTTATATTCTCAAGCACAGTATTAGGTTGTATGAATGACATCAAGTAGTTGAGATTTATTTTATTAATGTGTTATTTATTTTTTGAAATTTATATTGTTTGTAATAAGACCATATGTGAGTATTCTTGTTGCCAAAAATTCTAAGGTGTGATTATTATTTAAAAAAAAAAGAAATTGTATTTCTCCTGTAAAATATCACATAGGTCTTTCTTTCATCTTTGTAAATATCATGCTCTTGAAGCATTGCTTTAATATAAGTTCATAACATTTGTCAAAAAAAAAAAAAATGATCAAGTATATTCCCTGGTTTCGCTGGGCATTAATGGCGTGGTTTCCTGGGGCTACTACATTCTGGATTCTCCACCGAAATTATGGAGCAATCTTTAGTCTCACGTGTTCTATTATAAAGACCAAAGTTTCTATAAGGTCTTAGCTTTATGAAAATAAAACAAAGCCTCACTTAAAATCTTTGTTCGAGAAGCACTTTTGGAAACAAAAATCTTCATAATGTTTCTAAAATCAATTTCCAATATTGAAAATAAAATTTGAAACTAAAAAACTAACATAAATCTTCCAGATCTATAAACAATTATTTTTAGGTGAAATGGACGGTTTAGATAATTTTTACAATATACATTATTTTAGAACTTGAAATCCTATTTATTTTTTTACAACCATAATGGTCAAATTGAGATGATCGATATAAAGGTTTTTGAATACTTGAATTAAAATTTTTGATGAGTTATGAGGTGGGTCTTTATTTATTTTGATAGGGCTGCAAACCATTTTCCTGATGTAAATGGATCTATCAATATCCAGCTAGTCCAATTTTTTATAAAAAAATTGTTTAATACGGTCGGATGTTTGATTGTCACACTTCAAAAAAGGTTAAATCTAGATCTGGTTTGATGTTTCAATATTAGATCACCCTAAAAATGACTGCCCTAGAAACCAAAAAAAAAAGAAAACCAAAAAAATTGATATGATGCTTACAAGATCGATGGCAAAACTAGAATATATAAAAGCACGAAAAAAGGGACCTCAGTGTAAAATTGCCGCTAATTTGGGCCTGACAGTGATTTTGCTAAAAAAAACTTATTCGTACATAAATTTTCCATTAATAAATAATGAATAGCAATCCCGTCGTATTTGTATATATATATTTGGAAAAATAGTTTGGGCATGAGGGTACACCCTTCTATAATAGTGTCCCCTGACACATCTGACATTCATCTTGGGAATAGATGGTACAAAATGACAGCCCCACAATCTTAAAATCGATGGTGTTAAAATTATATAAAGGAATTTTAAATTTTTGCATTTAAAATTTATATTTTTTGAAGTTATTACATATCATTATTGAGGTTATACATTCTTCAAAATTTTGAACCCAAAATTTATCTCTATTGTTTGTTTTCCCCCAATTTTGAAACAAATCTAATGAGATTGATTATGAATCCATTTAGTGAACATTCGCTTGATTAATCTCCGCCGTTCATGGACTCAGATTGCACACAACGAGGATACACGATTCACAATTGGTGCATTATAGTGTGCTTCCAAAAATATTGTAGAAGTGCAAGTCCCTTTCATTTGAAAATTGAAATCAAAGTGGGCCACATCACTTAAACAAGAGAACAAAAGGCCTCCTCGATACGTCAAAGGTTCGAATCTCATCTAATATGCACCACATAAAAGCAGTAATCATAGTTAAAAACCATATATTAATTTATACCACAATAAATTAAGGGAAACACTCACAACTCCCAACATTTTTATAATCTACATGCGTTGACTAGGTACGATCAAGTATAAAAGTTTATAGGATTATCGACTATGAGGTCATTTATCATTTTTACAAAAAGATCACAATCACTCATAACCATTAGATGTTAAATTTGATGGTTTGGGATGCGTCACAACTTTCGAGATTTTTTTTTATTTTTTATTTTTAACTTTGAGTCTAATCAATGACGCACTTACAATTACCCGATTTAAAATCCGATTGATACGAGTAATTGCGACTTCATTGTATTCATATTGACTGATCTTTTTGTATACTTTTTCAAAACTTGGTGCGAACCAATAGTTAAACAAGATATATTACAATTAAGCGTGAAACCATGACTTTAAAAACAGGAATCTAGCCTAAATCACCAGGGTTCTAATTCTTTTTCCCCAATCCGATGAGAAGTTATCGTTTAGGATTGTCGGGTTAGAATATTTAAAAGTGCTAAAAAATAAAAAAATTGACACAATTCTAATATTCCTCTGTCAAAATAGTTAACATATTAATTTCTAAATATTCGTACGCTTTTGAGTCAGTTCGACAATTTTTAATCACTAGTTCAAAATACTAACATGACATTTCTTCCTTGGTTTTAAATGATAAGAATATTAGTGGTTGAAAGCTTAAAAGTTTTTTTTTTTACCTTGTCAAAAAAAAAAAAGCTTAAAAGTTTTTTTGTATGGGAAGAACTCACTTTAACTAACTTTCAAATAAAAAGCATCTCTACTTTTGGGCAGTTATTTTGGTCGGTTATCCGATAAAAATTAGCATGAGATAAAACGTTTTTTTAACGCTGTCTCTTCCTTTCACATCAGAGACATGGAGCATCTCTGACATGTATCTCGTTTTTAAGGTGCAGAGAAAAGCTCAGAAAAACCCTAGATCTTTTACGCCCTCGGTTCCCTCTGTTCTTTCCCCACCATTCACTGTAAAAAACTCTCAATTCATCAGGGGTTACTGAATGGTTCCTTGATTCTTCAGGGACCTCTTTAATGGCGTCTCCTACATCTAGATGGAGTGGAAGCTTTAGAGACGCTAATTCTGGGGTTTGCATCGAATGCAGGCTCAGGAGTTTGGGTCACCGTTTTAGGAACTCCATTTTCTATAGAAGTTCAGGAAAAGGTTTTGTAGAGGGGATTGAGCATCCTCTCACTTCTTTTTCATTGAATTTTGGTTCTTTGAAGACCAGAGCCGCCATTGAAAGGGGAAAAGCTTCTTACTCGAGTGAGGATTCAGGGCATGGGGATAAGAGGGGTAGAGAAGAAGGGGGATCAGAATTAGGGCAAAAGAGGAAGCTGGTTTCTCGATGGAGAAAGATAAGGTCTGATATTTTTAAGGGAAGGAACCTATGGAAGAGGATTTTCTTTGCTTCGAAGAAGGTTCGGAGCATTATAATTCTCAATGTTCTCTCTGTCATATATGGTAAGCTAATTTCCTGCTTTCTTTCATGTATATGATTGTTTGATGTTTGCTAAAATGTAGCTGAAGTTTGGTAATTCTGGTTCGAGAAATGTTATTGACTGATCAACGGTATTCATAAAGAGGAAAAAAAGAAAAAAAGAAAAAAAAAGACCCTAAATAGGAACTGAGTGAAAGTGTTCCAAATGAGTAGGTCCTTGTTCTTTTCTGAAACGCGTAAGAATTCCTTTATTATTTTGATAGTCTATGTTACTTAGTTTTGGTTTTCTCTTGCTGGTTTTGTGGAAGCTTGGAAGTAGCTTAATTGTTTATGGGCATTGTAAAAAAGTCTGAGGAGATTGGGAACTTAGTTGCCAAATGGAAGAAATATATTGTATGGATGTCGTTTGTACTTTATATTGAATATGGTAATTATTGAACAATTTCACTGTTTCTCTAGTGAATTTTCTGCTTATATTCCTTTTGTCATTTTTGAGAAATGCATTTTGTTATTTATTCACATCTATGTGGATCATATTGTATTACTGGTGTGTAGATTATCAGTGTCATTGAGCTACTGTTGTGTAGATTATCAGTACCATTGAGCTCCTGGTGTGTAGATTATCAGGGTCATTGAGCTACTGGTGTGTAGATTATCTGTGTCATTGAGCTACTGGTGTGTAGATTATAAGTGTCACTTAGCTAAGTAGTACTTTGTTCTTATGATTCCTCAGTTGATTTTCTGCATTCTTATACAAAACTTGCAATTTATATATAATACACCATTAGGCATAGGAGAAGCTGAATGGGTATCCATATGATGTGCCTAGATGTGCGGCGCAGTTGCCTAGGATTTCTCAGGTGAGCAAAGAAGTGGGGAAATAAAATTTAGACAAAGACAATATTAATTTTGTGTAAGAAAAAATAGAGTATTGTATTATGCTATACAGTATCAGTATATAATTATGTCCCTAAATTACTTATAGATTATGACTATGTATAATAGTTTAACCAATTAATAATATAGCTACTCTATGGTAATTATAATATATATTTTATACGTTGCCATTGTACTATATTGTTGAGACACTATAGTGAGAACTCTACGAACAATTTATATAGCCTCACAAGCACTTTGAAATGGTCATGTTTCCCAAGTTTAAGTACAATTATAAGGCTCTTGTTTTCTTAATTGGAGAATGTTGCATTTCTTGTAGAGTGCTTTACAGGTCAGTATTAATCACTAGACAGACTCTTTTTTCCCTTTGGGTAATTGATCGATAACAGACTCATTAATTTGGTTACATTCATTATAAGCTATTGTAGCCTATTCTAAGTCATTATGTCTTCCTTCTCAGCAAGTGATATCTCTGTGGTGAAAGAAGTGGAAGCCATCACGGATCCAGCTCTATTTACATTTGTAAGATTCGTTGGTTCAGCCATTCCTTTCATTCCATTCATTGTCCAAGCACGCAGGGATGGTCGCACTTGTGCAGCTGGAATGGAGTTAGGCTTCTGGGTCAGCTTGGGATACCTTGCACAGACAATTGGACTGCTCACATCTGACGCCGGACGAGCTTCCTTTCTTTCTTCATTCACAGTAAGCTCTTTGCTGGTTCTGCTTTTTCTTCATTTTTAATTGGCACACAAATTACTTCTTATTGATAACAGAATCATTATTTTTTAGAAAAAGGAAAAAGATGAAGTTAATCTATGTTGACAACCTTTTTTTGGAATTTGGCAGGTTATCATTGTACCCTTTCTAGATGGTCTTTTAGGAGCTAAAGTTCCCAAACTCACATGGTTTGGAGCTGTTGTATCTCTCATCGGGATTGGTCTTCTCGAGTCCAGTGGCTCACCTCCTAATGCAAGTACTTGAAAATAATTTGCTTTATGTTGGTTGAATAATGTTTGAGGCAGAACACAAGTTGCTGAGAACTGCTTGCTAATGGGTTCAATTTGATTCCTTTAATTTCATGTTCTTAAAGGTGTTCTGTTTGGTTAATCTTATTGGGTTCTATCCAAACTGCTTCTTAAGTATGACCAAGTTTGGTCCTGTTTGAAAGGAAAGAAAATAAAAGCCTGTCAAATTCAGGCCTTGGATCACAAATGAAATCATAACTGGGTCATAGGTCATTGACTAGCAGATTGGGACCTCTGACTGGCCAGTTCAGCCGATATGCATAGATACTCTAGTTTCGTTTTATCATTATTTAATGCATTCTACTTCCTAATAGACTGGAAATGAGTCCACTTTGTTGGTCATTCAGTTTTAACAAAGGGTGTGGTTTGTATAAGGCTGAGGCCTTAAACATTCAAAGTAAAGCACACCTCCAAATAGTGTCGGAATATGTTGTTTCAATACCATAGATCATTATGATGGCCCTAAAATTTGTGTTCATCTTGAATTATAAAATTTAAAATTTTAAGAATAGAATAGATCGATTAGATATATGAAGTATGAACACTTGAAAATCTTGAAAGTTGATGGTCTAGATAATACATTACAAGAGGTACTATTTTCAAAACTTCAAATCTATTTTTTCTCATATCAATACATCTAGAGCTCGAGATGATCGAATTGACAGTTTTTCTGCATCGAAATATACCTCTTCTAATGAATTTTTGAGGTGCACCTTAATTTGATTGTTTAGGGCCTCACCCTTATATAAACTTTTTCCTTTAACAAAAATGCTTTGTTTTGGTGGAATAATAGGTCTCTGTAGATTGATGGCATTATACTGTCCTCTAGGTTGGAGACTTGCTGAACTTCATGAGTGCTATTTTCTTTGGGGTCCATATGCTAAGAACTGAACATTTCTCAAGAACCACGAAGAAAGAAAAATATTTAGCGCTTCTTGGTTATGAGGTAACCTTACAATATAATTTCATTTAAACCTTGTTATGCCATTCAGATCTAAGGATTCAGGATCCCTGGTATTTCCCTTCCTTCAACCTTTGTACTGGAGCATTATCTATATTAACTGAAATTGATGGTGAAATGATGGATGTTAGGTTGCTGTTGTAGCATTGTTTTCAATGATATGGTACTTTCCAAGAATTGGGTTGTTTCACCTGCATCAAATGGACTGGACATCTTGGGTATGGACAGGCATTTGGGATAAATTTCTTTCCTTCCCATGGATCCCTGCACTTTATACAGGAATGTTTTCAACTGGCTTATGCCTGTGGGCAGAGGTACAGTTCATTTATTTTTTTACTGGAGTGCTGTATACTCTCTATGACCCCAAGTTAAAATCCAGAAAGAGTGATCCACTGATTATGAATGCCATGTAACTACTGATTCCACAATGCAAACTTATTTTTCAGATGGCTGCCATGCGTGACATATCAGCAACAGAAACTGCCATTATCTATGGATTAGAGCCTGTTTGGGGTGCTGCTTTTGCATGGTTCCTGCTTGATGAGAGGTGGGGTGCTACAGGATGGATAGGAGCTGTTCTGATATTGGGTAAGATGATTGCACTCTAACTTATAACATCCTTAGTTGCATTTGACATTTGCTTCCAAATCCAAAATTCTCCTTTCAAATTACTTAAAAATTGTAGATATCTACATTGAAAATGACTTCTAAAAGTCACATAAATCCTCCTTTCAAATGGAATTCTCTTTTAGGTTTTGTTTCTTTGGTTAGGTGGGCATCATTAATAACGACTTCTTGTTCTAAATCTGAGACAATTTTTTATTTTGTTTTTCTTCTTTTTGGCTGGTTCCCCTCACTCCATTTATCGTGCTTCACTGCTAAAATTTATACGATGGTTGTTTTGTCATGCAGGTGGAAGCTTAGCGGTCCAGTTATGCCCAGAAAAGCCAATAAAAGAAGAAGAAATTGACACCCTACTTGAGAGCTTTGATTCACTGGATGGAGGAAGGGGCATGTCTCCCTCAAAGATCTATGTTAGCTCGAGAAAGAAGGTGACCAAGTTCGAGGAATAGGTCTATCATTTGTATATTAGTTTCTTGTAAATTATTATCCTTTCTCATTGCTATCATAAAGTGGGAATCAGAAGTGAAACCTTGTTGTTGGGATGAATAGCTCCCTGATACTTGGTTATGGCAACCAATCCCCTACATGTAAATTCATGTCTATAATGTATAGCTCTTTGTTTCCATCACTTGTTCTGTTTCTTTTCTTGTACTAGGTTGCAGTTCTCTCCACTTGGTAAGCTAGTCTCAGGAGACTGGAGACCCAGAGGCTAAAGTCAAAATATTCTTTTCACGTGAAAGAATTTCTCATGTGGTTAGGTGTGGGAATGTTTTCACACCAATTAATCATAGTGTATATTTTCACACCAATTGGCGGCTAATTAGTTTGAAAATATTTCTACACCTAACCACAAGAAAAAAAATTTACGCGAAGCAAACGCGTGCTAAATGTAAGTTTGAATTGCTAATGAGAATATAATGCGTTAATATTGTCCAAAAAAAAGGGAGAGTAAAAAAGGGAGCTCAATCTATCGTAGAAAGAGAAATGGAGAGTTTTAACTTTACATGTGGGGCTTGTTTGATTTTTGGAGGACGTGGCTTTGGAAACCGCATCATCCAATACTGTAGCATTTTTTTTGTTTGATAATGGGGAAGTTTTACATTAAAGTGGATACTGCAGTACCCACTTACCTTATATTTAGGCTAAAACGTGGATACCGCCAATTCCATGAAGGACTACGGAACTTGGGGTATCTACTTCCACAGAAGATGCAGCTTGGGGTATCGGGTATCTACTTCCACAGAAGATGCGGCTTGGGGTATCGGGTATCTACTTCCACAGAAGATGCGGCTTGGGGTATCGGGTATCTACTTCCACAGAAGATGCGGCTCTCAAAACCGCATCTTTCAAAAATTGGACATGCTTGCAGTGTTTTAGAGAGAGGTCATCTAGTTAGAGTAGCTCAGTGAACTCGGAGGTTGGAGCATTAAAGATTTATATTTACCTTCAGAAAACGTTTAAATTAATTTATTGATGGAGTTATATATATATATATATATATATATATATATATATATATTACTTTA